TTCGGAAAGGATTTTCTTTATTGGAACTATAAACTACTCAGCAGTCTTTTAATAACAGCAAGAACATCAGCGCTAACCATTAGTGCTTCATCATAGGTAATCACTTTTGAATACCTAATTCTTATCAGGCGAACTTAGTTACGCAACGTACATGGCGTAATCAATAATACAATCACGATACAACGTACGAGAGTAAAAAGACATGCCGGAAAAGGCGAAAATTGAAAAATTATGTTTGAAGCTAGAAAACTTATAACTTTTAACAATTGGGCCGAAACCAACCCTGCGAGAACGACTTCGAGCAACTCAATAATGGAAAACGCCGAAGCTGACGACAATAAAGACAAAGATTTAAACGAGAGTCAATAAGATAATGAAGCAGATCAAAATGATTCCGAAGACGGAAACGATGACGGCGACGATGAAGATGAGGTTCTGAGGAATGGTAGATGACAAGATGACCTAAGAAGACCGAGAACCAATATTTACCGACATTTCATAAAGTAGAAGAATCACTAGAAACATTTAGCTGTAATAATAAGCTCAGCATAAATCATTGGTTGGATAATTTTGAAGTAAAGAAATGTTTTAATTGTGGATCAAAAAGAACAAAGGTTCTTCAGGTGCAACGAATTTGGTCACAAAGCTTTTGGTTGTTTTAACAATCCAAAAGTATCAAAGACAACAAAGGAAGCGAACAGCGTTTCGAACTCAATCATAAAGAAGCGCCTAAAGGATGTGGTAATAGAGGACTTTAAGGTCATTTCGTTGATTGATATAGGCAGTGACCTCAGTTTCATTCGTACGAATGAGAATGTTAGCATATACCTCGTATCACGTAAAGTGGCGGCTCAAACAATAAAACTGCCAAGTAGTGACCGTCCTTGTTGGCGTCTACCTGGAATTACAATATTAGGGTGTTTTTCATATGAACACGTCTTGTATTCTGTTAACCACTTGTGCAAAGATTAACATTTCGAATCTCGGCTGCTCAGACAGACTCACTAAAGAGTAAAATTGCCACTAAATAATGTTTAATCGTCCTCATGTTTGTTGCAGACGTTTTGGTCATTCGACAAAGTAAGTTTATTAAATCATTTGAAAGTTTTATTGCTTGAGCCGCCACTTTACGTAATACGAAGTTTAGGTTCAAGTTGTTTAAGTCTTCGTTAAATTTGACGGTATTGAGTGTCATCAGGTAATCAAACACTGGGCGAATTCGTAGCTAACGTAATAGTAGATGATGTAGTTTACGAACTCAAGTTTCTTGTTATTTCCAGCTCAATGTTTAACTACGGAATATTATTAGGCATAGATTTTTGAACAAAGTCAATTATATTAAATCTGAAAACATTCAAATAATAAAAATTGAAAACGATCCTTCTGGTTTTTCTCAAGATAATGACATTTATCAAATAAATAACCGAATCATTGTCAAGAAATACATGAATTCGTAAGTAGTTATGGATGCGAACAGACGGAAGAGGAGGTACTAAAATGAAGGTCATAGTAAAAGATGATATCCCCGTATATTCCAGACGCTGATGTTCCTGTTCGGAATATGCAAGTCCTACAATCCTTGTTAGGAAAAAATGGCGTATGTTTGTAAATTTCATAAAGCTTAATAAAACAATCATTAAAGACCATTATGTATCTTATTGAAGACCTGTAGCCACTCTCTGTAGTCGTATGTGATGAGAGATGTGGCTACAGTGGTGACCCCGACAACGAACAGATGAACTGCGACAGCCGAAATAGTCATCTCAATTGTCGCCAACGAAGGAAGGAACGTCGTCGTCAGCGTGCCCTCTTGCGCCAGATCGCCCAACGGCAAATTGCAACCCCAGGTCCAGCATCCGGTGAACCGTCTGACCGGGACCAGTACCTCCAGCATCAGCGTTTTTTTGCGTGAGTTGTTCAATCTGTTGGAGAACACATACTCACCCTTACTGGGCGTATTACCCCAGCCTATTATACAATAACTACTCACCGGCCTCTCTCCCATGGGCTCCTCGCCATCCAAAGAAGAGATCGTGATTGCTCCATCTGCCGCGGGAAATGCAACCGCCTCGCCCCTTGTACGCAACGATTGTCTCCTTTACATTATAATCGCGCTCCAAGTAATCAGCCTATTTTGGACAGCCTACCGTGAATACCGGCGGCATCTTCATCAACATATCAACAAAAAGGTCGCCCAGGCCAGCCGTAACTTAGAAGTTTAATCATATCTCGCCCACAAAATGCCCAACCTGCCTCCTCTATCGACCGTCTCGCCGTCAAGCTGCCACCCTTCGTGCCATCCGACCCCGAACTCTGGTTTTGCATGGTGGAACGAAGTTTCGAAGCCTCAGGTATCACATCTGAATCGACAAGATTCGGGTACGTATTGGGAAATTTGGATCCGCAGTACGCAGCCGAAGTGCGGGACATTATAATAAACCCACCGGCGACTGAACCATATGCTACTATCAAAGCAGCACTCATTCGTCGATTGGGCACTTCGCAAGAATTAAGGACCAAACAATTACTGGGACAGGAAGAAATTGGTGACAGGAAACCATCCCAATTTCTGCGGCACCTTCAAAACCTGGCTGGAAACTCTACTCCAGAAAATCTATTACGCACGATCTGGTCAGGTCGCCTTCCGCAAAATCTACAGACGGTCACAGCAACGATGAAGGACAAGCAGTTAGAGGAAGTTGCAGAAATAGCCGATTACATCATGGAAGCAACGCAATCACAGACCACGATAGCAACCACGGCCACACATTCCCCCCAATATGATGCCATCCAACTACTGACCAACAAGGTGCAAGCTCTTCAGTTGGATCTGCATCAGATAAGACGACATATGGCAAGAGGTTCGAGGACAAGATCTCGATCTCACTCCAGAAGCACTTCTTCGCAAAGACGATCCCACAGCAGCAATAGGAGCAGTGACCTTTGTTTCTACCACAACAGATTCCAAGACAGAGCACGGAAATGCATTCCTCCGTGCAGGAAGTCATCGGGAAACCTACAGGGAACTCACTAATGGCGACAAGTGAGGTCCGCACAACGCAACGTCGCCTATTTGTAACGGACAGAGCAACAAACCAAAAATTTCTGGTCGACACCGGTGCAGATATTTGCGTGTATCCCAAGTCACTAATACCTGGGCCACGTCAGAAATCTACATTCACGCTGCAAGCAGCAAACGGCACCAACATACCGACCTATGGTACTATTATTCTGTCGCTCAACTTAGGCCTACGAAGATNCTGCCGACTTAGTAAAATCGCGGTACAGTGCGGCTAACTAGGTCATAGACATTTACACACACATATGTAAACTGCTGAACTAACTATTGCCATTAAACTAATGTAAATAATTTTTGTATAAATAGCTTGTAAAGAATTGAATAAAATTAGTCTAACACCAGGCTCATTATCATTCGGATGCTGATAAAGTGTCAACCCTTGGAATCATCACTGATGCAGATAATGTGTCCAACGATATTATAATCGGTTCTTCTCAGAACCACAACCTTTGCTAGTCACACCTTACTACGACCACACAGGGTGACTACAGACCAATTAGATTTGTTAGTTAGATAATGATTGGATTCTTTCACGTATCGTTAGACGAAGACAGTAGGAAATATACATCATTTGTTGCTCCTAACATGTAGTTTGAATTTTTGAAGGTGAAATGCCGTTTTTAAAGAGCTCATTACTAATAAAACCGTTTTAATTTATATGGACAATTTGATCGCGTTAAGAGAAGTCTTAAAAGTTGCAAGTAGTCATGGTTTTATTATAAATTGGAAAAAATGCCAGTTTATGTAAGAAAAAGTCGAGTGTTTAGGCTGTTTTACTGAAGAGGCAACCATAAAACAATCCGATTGTACAACAAAGCGTTGGCGAAATTTCCGAAACCCAGCCCAATAGGGTGTGTTCAAAGATTCTCAGGTCTTACCGGTTTCTTAAAAAAATTTATTCATTCCTAACACGTCCGTTAACTAATCTATTAAAGTCAAATGATAAATTCTTATTCGTAGAGGCGAGATAAAAGCATCGATTAGGTTAAAGTCAGTCGTTTTTCGTAATCCTACAGCAAAAGGAAATAGAAAACAAGGACAACGTCAGTGCGTCAAATGCCAAGGGCAAGAAAATGGAATAATTAAATAAAAATAAATTAAAAGGTTTTATTTTCTTCTGGAACCATTTCGCTAGGGTTTCTCAATCTTGAATGTCCAAACTAGTTATAATTATGTTCTTATTACTGTTTCTGCTTCTTCTACGTATTATCAGTTATTATCAATTCTTTATTTATTTTTTTATACTTATTTTAATTGTTTTTTTTTTCTATATATCTTATTTGATGTTATATTATTTTCTATTTCCTAGTTTCTTTACATTTTCTACTAATCTTTACCTTTCTCTCCTTGATGTTTTAAAACTTATCTTTATTGTACTCATCTAATCTTTAAAAATTCTTCAATTTGGCCTCTGCTTTTTTATTCATCATCCTTAACCTTTCCTTCATGATTTTATTTTCTCCTTGAACTCGTTCTAAATTTTTCCATATTCGTTTCTCTTCGAATTCTCGGATATTAGTATTTAATTGTTCTCTTCTAATTATTGCCTGTTTTCTTCTTTCATTGCTCATGCTTCTCTTTAATTTGTTTTAGACCTCCCCTCAATTATAGATTATTTTTAGATGTAAATTCCAGTAAAGATTTACGTTAGTATAGGTACTAATTAATCATGTCTCAAGAAATTATGGTGTGGTGAAACGTATGCCACATACTGAATGAAGCAAGTTTTGTGAAAATATGTTTTTATGTTATATGTTTCCTTGATTATGGATTTTCACCAAATTAACGGCGAAACCATTCAAGATCAGAAGATATAATACGTACAAATTGTCATTGTTTACAGCAGGCATAATTACATTTAATTTTATGAACATATTGTGCTATGTATGAAAATGTTAGACTTATCGTTAGAAGAACTCACCTATCATTATAAATGTATAGTTGAAACCATTTTACAGCATTCGGAGCAGTCTTTGCAACTTCTTCTATACTGCTTGTACTAATCGTACTTAAAGTGAAAACTACATCATGAAACTCAGCGGCTACAAAAATTACAATACAAATAAATTAACATTTTATAATATTTATAATAATAATAATA